TAAATGAAATTATCTTCAAAAAGTAAATGTCATGAACCAATCTAACGTTTCAAATAAAGAACCGATGAGATTTTGCAAATTTTATGCGTTTTTTTTTTTTAAAAAAGTTATCAAGCTCTTAAAAAATCACCCGATATAATTAAAAATGTGTGCGTAAATATGTTCGTTGCAGTTTGATGTAGCGGCAATCCTGCAGTGAAATAAATTAGTTTTAAATGATTTTATATTAATAACAACTGTGCGCCTAACTAGCCAACTGACGTTCTTCTATACTTTAACACAGCTGGTTTTTTTGTACAGTGATGCGCTGTGGGACACTAAGCACTTATTGAATACAAAAATTTTGATTTCGGTGAAAAATTTACCCATAGAACAAACAAAAATTTTGGAGGCCCAGAAACAGCCTTTCAGGCTATGACCTTGCTGGCGGTACTGGATCAAGGTTACACTTAATCCAATGCCTGCAGAAAACGGTATTTAATAAATAATGTCTGTCTGTCGTAATATATGCAAATTAGTCCCTCAGTTTTGGAGACATTGTTCTGCAAATTGCGAAATTTCGATTTACACTGATGGAATAATGTTTCTAGCGGAAAAATGGCAAAAAGTGATCTGCAAAAATGGTACATATTTGTTTATTTATTAATAGTATAAATAAAGAAAAGTAAGTTGAAATTTGAGTAGAAATACGAAAAGACTTTTTCGACTAACCAATATATCGGTTATTTTTGATAGAGAAAGCTTAAGATGTTATGCAATCTTTCTGGGTTCAAGATATTTCTTCAAGAAATTTTCTATAAGTTATTATTTAAGGCAATCTACGAAGAAATCGGATAAATGTTATATAGCTGCCACACAAATCGAACGACAAAATCAAGTTATTGATAACACTGTGGAACATTTTTGGGATTATTGTCTGGGAGGTGAGAAATTTCAATTGTGTCAGTTTTTTTTATGACCTTATGACTCGCTATATTTCGCTTAGTTGTAACATTTTGGCAAAAACAAAACAACAAAAAAAAACATTTTCCGAGAATGCTCTAAACATCCTTGCGACAGCAACATCGTAGTTGTGAGAACGATGCTTTCCCAACAAGCCTTCTATTACTTCTTTGATTGCCTGCCATGCATTCAATATATATCAATCCAAATATTGTTGAATGCGTCACTTTTAATCAGCTTCGTATATTTGGAGCATTTAGTACGCCTGATTAGAAAAAATTAATTTGTTAAGAAAACCATGGGAAATAAGGAAACAATTTAGAAGGTCATAAAAAAAACTGACACACACGAACGCCAAATTCTTTGAGGGTTTTACTATCCTGACCTAGTACCATCACCCTGACTTGGAATTTCTCACCCCTCCGAGTAGCTGTTGTACTGTGTAATGAATATTTTGTATTTGTGGTATTATAATTTCGGTGCACCCGAAGATTACGCTTTTTCTTATTTTAATTTGCTAATATTATTTGCTAATATTTCACTTTCTCGTATTCATATTTAAAAAAGCGTTACTTATACATATATACATGTATACATACGTGCACATCTCCAGATTTACGTATGTATGTGTTTAATTTGAATGGCATAAGTTTCAACTTATTAGCTCTAAGTAGCTTCGACATATGGAAAAAGAGAGTATATTAGCCCTTTAACTAACTGCAGCTGAACAGGTTTTAGCAAATGAAATATGTAGATTACAGAGCAAAAAACTCACACCAAATTTTCAAGACCAAATCAAAGCGTTGCACTACTATAAAAGTGTCAGCAAATTGACGGATATGTATCATTCACTTCTTGTCTTCGCATTCGCAAAGAACTGAACTAATAATCACGATATGGCTTTCAAGGTAAGTTCAAACACAAAACCGTTAAGCAGCGGGATCTCAATATATATAAAATATGTTTGTACAGCGTTAATAATCCAATTTGCTTTTACAGTTTGTATTCGCACTCGCCTTTGTCGCCGCGGCCAGCGCTGGCTATATACCCGCTGCTCCAGTATACCACGCCGCACCAGCCGTCGCCGTGCACGCAGCACCTGTGGCCGTAGCCCAAAAGGTTGTTGTGAAATCGGAAGAATATGATCCTCATCCTCAATACAAATTCTCTTATGGCGTCGATGACAAACTCACCGGTGATTCCAAGAGCCAAGTGGAGGAACGTGATGGTGATGTGGTCCATGGTGAATACTCTCTCATTGACGCTGACGGTTACAAACGCACCGTTCAGTACTCTGCTGATCCCATCAATGGCTTCAACGCCGTCGTGAACCGTGAACCTCTCGTTAAAGCTGTCGCCGTCGCTCCAGTTGTAAAGACTGTTGCTCCAGTTGCTCACTATGCCGCTCCAGTCTCTCACTACTCAGCCCCCGCAGTGGTCAAGGCCGTTGCCCCCGTAGCTCATTATGCTGCCCCAGTGGCTCACTACGCCGCTCCAGCTGCCCATTACACATCATACGCCGCTCCTGCATACCATCATTAATTCGAAGAGAAGTGAACAGTTTCGAATACTCTTTTAAATGGACGAGTGTGTAAACGCACAACGAATTGTTAATAATTTTATTCTAATTTATTTCGACGTAAAATAAAAAATAATCTAAAAATGCATATACATAGCTCTATTTAACTAAAGGGGGGTAGTACCTAGATATTGAAAGAAGTACGGTGCACATAAGATCGTTATAATTTAGGGTAGTCGAAAAACCCTTTACGTTTTGCTAATCAAAACTCGACTTATTTTTCCTTATATTTATAATGAAGTTTAATGAACCAAATGTACCAGTTTAGTCCACTACTTTTTGACATTTTTCCCGCTACAGACATTATTCCATCAGTGTAAAACTTTTTTGGTTTCTCGGGGAAACACTGCGACAAGTAATTTTCACAGGCTTCTCTTGAAGCCAACTTTACTCCATTAAGGGAGCTCTGGTTTTGGTCAATATTTTCTATAATTTCATCGACTTGTTCAACGATGTGGTCAACTAGAGCGAGGTGCATTTTTCACTTCGAAATTTTCAAAACGGAAGCTAACGAACCATTGCTGCGCTACACGAACTGATACAGCATAGTCTCCGTAAATTTCACAAATTTCATTGATGCCTCGCGTGGCATTCTTTCCTTTTTTATACAAAAATATAGCGAATTTCTTCATTATATTCGCTCATTTTTGAAGAGCTGTAACTTTTTTTCAGCTTCGCCCAATTTAATATAATTTATTTATTTTTTGGTAAAGTGAAGCTTAAAATCTCACCTTTCCAACACTACTGGAATGACACAATGTGATTGGTAGGACTCGAGATATACGACTGCAACGACATCTATTGACAAAATACGAAAGGACTTTTTCGACTACCTAGTATATAACTAAATAGTTTGAAATATTTTCGGATACTCATACAAATAGTTGGAACTAGAGTAGTTCTCTTGTACTAGTACATACTTATTCGTCATCATCATCATCACCATCGTGAGGCAAATAGTTGATGTGAACAATCTTTTAGCAAAGTAAATTTTATTTTCTGAATCTTGCCACCTTAAAGTCACCTTTACAATATTCGTAACAAAGGACAATGGGACTTTGAACAAGTTATGTTAGGTCTTTGTTGTCCATTTAGAAAAAAAGCGCACACACAAAGGGATTTGCAATTCTTCCCTTTGACCGACTTCTTTTCAACTCTGTAATAAACTTGTGTGCGCAAGCGTACCGACTTACGTGTTGAAATCTATTGTGGCAGCAAGTTAAGACTTGGACTTGGAGGTAAACAGAGTTCATAGAAATGCTTATTTGTGAGCATTGGGCTGACCTGTTTCTCGAGGCTCATCTGCTTTGTGTTGATCAGTTCAGTGGAGATCCCTTGGAAGCAGCGAAATGCTCATTACAAAATGCTGCAAGCTTATCGAAAGTGCAATGACCGACCGACACAGCCACTAGAAGCAACCCTTCGACTCCAGCGAGGGATTTTTTTTCCAGTTCGCGCGGATTCAAACAACACTTATTCAGACAAACAAATGCAAAAAGCACCGATTTGAATTGAAAACAAGCACCAAGGAAATACATTCAATTCATTATGTGCCAATGCACTTCGCATTTTACTAGATATAATATAATATACATATGTACATAGGATATGTCTTTTGTTGCTTGTTTGTTTATTCAGTTCACGAAGTTACAATTAAGGACGAAGCTCTAAGAGTCGCGCTCGCTTGCATGGCAAATACGCCAGTTATCGTTTTAGATCTTCACGCAAAAATAAAAATAAAAATCACTCATCGCCGAAAAGATCGCAAATAAACCAATAAATACTGGCACAATAGCGTCTACGAAATATTTCGCTTCGTTCTGCGTCTGCACCTGCCGTTTGCATCTTTTTGTGCTTCCACTTTTCGTAAACAAGTTTGTTTGTTATTTTGGAAATTGCATACCTGTAGACGTGGGCTTACATGCACGCATGTATATGTGTGTGTATGTGTGCTTAATTTATACTTGTAAAAATCATGAAAGGGTTTAAGTTTCCAAGGTCAGTGAAAAATACTTACAAGATCCATTAGTTTAGCTGTACCTTCTGTTCCTTTACAGAATTTTTAAGTAAAATCATTTACTTTACGTGCACCTGGGCGCTTTTGTAGAACATGCAGCTCCCTCAAGCAACCATATGTTCAAGGCAGCCCTGTAGAAACAATCTTCAAATGATTGCGCAAGGTTTGCGAGAAACTCGTCTGTATCAGTTCAATGGTTCGCTCGCTTCTGTTCTGGAAATTGCGATGTGAAATATACACCTCGCTCTGGTCGATCTATAGTCGATGAAATTAGGAAAAACATCGACCAGAAGCAGCACATAAACAGTCATGACTTTGCTAAGGAACCTAACATTTTTGGACCATTTAAAAAAGGCTGGCAAAAAAAGAAGCTCGAAGTTCGGGTACCACATAAATTGTCTGTGAAAAATTTAAAGGACCGAATTAACATCTGCGATTCTTTGCTGAAACGAAATGAAATCGAACCATTTGGAAAGCGATTGGTAACAAAAAGTGAATCAAATACGTCAATAATATATGAAAAAGATCATGGTCCAAACGTGGTGAAGCGCAACAAATGGATGCAAAGGCAGAATGCACGTCTCGAAAGGTTAAGCTGAGTGTTTGGAGGAATTGGAAAGGAATTATCTTGAGCTCTTCTACAGTGAACGAAAGATTGATTCTACATTTTACTGTCAACAACTGATGACAATGAAGCAAGCAATCGAAAAAACGGCCACACACATCTTTGATGACTCGGCAAAAACTGGCAAAAACTTGGCCGGGAAATTTTGATGCAGAAAAGTTTTACACTGATGTAGTAATGTCCCTAGCATGGCAAAATGTACCATTTGTTTCATTAAAGTTCATTATAAATATAAAAAAAAAATGTTGAACTGTGATCAGAAATATGAAAAAAATTTCGACTACTCAATAAATTTCTTAGCAGCAAGTAATTCAAAAAATGTGCCCTCTAGTTGACAACTTATGGTTTTTGAGGTTATAAATTAAAAATTATAAGGAAATTAACACAATGTTATCTTTTTCAGAATTTCCATAAAGAAAAATTCTTAAACAGAATTTACGACTGGCGCGCTGTTGTTAACTCGGCTATAATCGCGTAAGCGGTGCCTACGCCAATTGAGAAGAAGAGAATCCAGTTGCTGTTTACATTTCCTAGCGGGATGGAGAATGCTGGAGAATGCATCTCTTACAAGATGTCAGCTTTTTTGCAGAAATGTCTACGCTTTTTTTCGCCACGACGCGTAAGACTATATTACATGTATTTACGAGGTAAAATAGCATAATACGACTTCAGCGACAAAGTCTGTGTTCTGGAGTGGCATATAAAGAAGTGAAACAGCGCCCCTTCAATTGTATTGCATCACAAGGCTGGTAGCGAGGCAAGGATAAAAAAACAAATCTGAATGAGTAGAACCAGACTGGTGAGCAAAAAATGGCTAGCGCAGCATAAAAGTGAAAAAGGGAGACACTCGCCTATGTATGTGTGCATGTCAACAAGGAATTGTGCAAAAGTTTATGCTGAAATGCAGTGATCTGTGCATTACATACTTTCGTATGTGTGTGTATATGAATAGTTGAATTCTTGAAAGAGAACACTTTTAGTTTTACTGCGGATATAAATATGGGTTCAAGCACAAGCAGCTTCATTCAGTGTTTTGTGTTGAGTCTGAGGAGTTCGATGAAAAATATTTAAATTTAGTTTTTAGTCTGCCATCCAAATTCCATGCAACTTGTGAGAATCCTGACCGAGCAGCGGCACTTCAAGCAGTGATTAGTGAGCGTGTTTCGCATTTACGGTAAGTGTGGCGTTTATATAATAATAAATATTATTAATTTTTGTGCTTCGCTAAGTATTAAAGTGTGTAATAGTTGATTTTTTGTTGATTTCAGTGAAATATATGTATTTGCTCGGTCATGGAAGAGAAGCTTGCTTTCGCACTTCAAGCCATCACTATCATCCATTCGGACTCATTGAACTACTTTGTCACTCATCATCGAACATTGAATCGCCAAAAATAACGTTGGAAGACCTCAAACGCAGTCTCGGCCATTGGACAAAATTGTGATTTTTCATAGTTTAGGTTCAACGAATAAAAAAATACAATAGACAATATTTGGTGCTTGGCTTTTGAATGTCTTGTGGGGTGTATTGAGAATGTTTTATGGCCTGCTGTTGCGATTTCGTAAAAAAAAAATCTTTTTCTGACTGAGTACTGAACAAATCCAAAATTGAAATGTTTTTCTGTGCTATAAATGATTTATTTTCATCACAATATTCGTAAAATAGTGCGTTGGTTTTAAAATATTTGAAATACCGCCGAGCAAACATTGAAGCATAAAATACTCCTTCCCATCATAATAAAAAAATTTCTATGGAAATATACACAATTAAAAAAATTTGTAATACTCAAGTGCTTACTTTTTCGAAATGTCAAAAGCGTAGAGAAATAGCTGATATGGAAATGTACCGATTTCCATGGCAAAGGTTGGGATTTTTTTGTCAAAATCGAGGATATTGAAACAAACTGGTCGAACAAAATATAATCCTTGTGTACAATACTTTTTTTTTTTTTTGATAAAGTGCCAACACCAAATTTGACACAGCTTATTTTCACAAAAAACGCTATCATCCTCCAGCATGTTGTTCAAATCGGATCTTTGTATCGTATAGCTTTCATACAAACTTACTGTCCAAAATCGAATTATTGTATGACAAAATTTTTCATTTGAAAAGATATCCACACAATATTTGTAAAACATTTTCCAAGGCAATGCTACAATTTCCGAATATATTGCGTAGTCGAAAAAGTCTTTTCGTATTTCCAATCAAATTTCAACTTACTTTTTTTTATTCTTATAAAAGTTCATGATATTAACCAAGTCTGTACTATTTTGGTCAACCACTTGTTGCCATTTTTCTGCTACAGACATTTTACCATAAGGACAAAAATATTTTTGATTGCTCGGTGAAAAACCTGGACAAGCAATTTTCACAGGCTTCTCTTGAAGCCAACTTTGCTCCATTAAGGGATTT